TACATCTTTACAACATGTCCGTTGAACAAATGAATAAATAAACAAATAAATGACCTCCAAACGCTAGCACTGTATTACAACGGCTGCACAGTAACTGACCACTTACATAAATCTTTTGTTTGTGATATTTCTTAATCGTCTACCTTCTTTGTTCTTTTTGCTTCCTTCAAATTCCTTCGAATACTTAGCACATTTTTGAGTGCTTTTTTCGGATAGAAACATACAACTAGCCGGGATGTCTTGGAATATAGCTGGGGTCAAGCATGCATCAATTATTGCGATGTGCTAACACCCTTTGGAAACTTTTTTACCGCATCCTTCGCACCTTAGCGTAGTATAGGAATACTGTGGAATATTGCACCATCCCTTTGTGTTATTTTAAGTGAAAAATAATTCGACTTATATGCGGCTATGACTAAATTCTTCTTTCCATCTACGTGACTTCCATCATCATAAATTATTCTCGCACCATTTCTTTTTCTACAGAAGTTCCTACCAGGTAAATTTTCAGAACGGAATTGACTTTTGAAGCCAACTCCTTCCGCTCAGTTTAGTACTCTCGCGCTAACATCAAACAGTCTCAGAATTAAAGTCACTTCCTCTTTAGTTTTTGACAGCATAGTCCCATCAGCTCAAAGGTTTGATGTTTTTGTTTATATTTGCTACCGCTGTTCCATTAGAAACACGTTTTCAACCGATTTTCAAATGCAGACTCATTTTCACCTGCAGTTTCGGCTCAGACAAAAAGAGTTCGATCGCATTACGTCTAGAAGAGTATATGTATAATAAGTTTTGGATGGGTGGAGTCTGAGGCAGGGTTGACAGAGCACATACGAGCTCTGCCGAGCTCCTCCCTAGAGAGGCGGTGGCAAGAGCCAAACACCTTATTTTAGCCTCGGCAGACGCCGGGAAAAGCTGTGCAAAGGTGAGGAATTGTTTAACAATAAAAATAAGGGAAATTTACCGGCGGAGCATTCTCGCAGTAGGCAGTACTTTCCAAAACTCGCTTGAACGAAGGTGTCGAGGCCAGGAAAAAATGAATAGAGTGAGCAGCCCCCTATGCGTGCTGGGCATGCGTAAGCTCAGCGTCCCGCCCACGATGAGCAGGGCGTGCGTTGAGACAAAAGCTACTTTTCAAAAATGATTGCAACTTCGTTTGGAAACGGTCTAGAATGTGGGAAAAATGTGGCTAGAGGTAATGGAACAAATGTGGTCAAATCTTCGAGGTGGGGGGAATTGGCCCCAAAGTGGTTGGGGCTTAGATCAAAACTTTATAGCTGTGTTTAGAAATGTTCTAGAATGCGGCAAAAAAAGTGATTGGAGGTAATGGAACAATGTGGTCAAATCTTCGAAATGGGCGGAGTCGGAACTAAAGTGGGCGGAGCTTAGATGAACTTTACAACCCCCTTTGAAATCGTTCGTAAACGCGGGTAAGTGTTCGAAAGTAGTGGAACAAATGTGGTCGGAATTTTGAAGTGGGCGGAGCTTGGTTCAAAACTTTGCAACTCCGTTTGAAAACGGTCTAAAACGCGGGAAAAAAGTGTTTAAAAGTATTGGAACAAATGTATCCGAATCTTCGAAATGGGCGGAGTCGCCACTAAAGTGGGCGGGGCTTAGATGGAACTTTACAACTCCCTTTGAAAACGTTCCTGAAGGCGGAAAAAGTGTTTAAAGGTGATGGAACAAATTTGGTCGGAGTTTTGAAGTGGGTGTGGTTTGCACTAAAGTGGGCGGGACTTAGATTGAAACTTTATAACTGTGTTTAGAAACGTTCCAGAACTTGGGAGAATAGTGGTTGGAGGTTATAGAAGATATGTAGTCACGACTCCAAAGTGGGCCGGGTTCGCTATGAGGTGGGAGGGGCTAAGATCAAACGAGGGAAAATAGAAGTGAGCGGGATGAGACCATTCATAAATGCATCTCTGTTCAAGAACTTTTTAGACTGTGGTAAAAAAGTGGTTGGAAGCTGTGGAAGATATGTGGTCAAATTGTCAATGTGTTTGGGAATTACACTGAGATGTGCGGGTCTAAGATCAAAAATTTATAAAAGTGAAAATTTAAAAATTTATAATTCTGTTCAAAGACGTTCTGGAGCGGAAAAAAGTAGTCGAACCTCCAAATTGGGCGGGGTCTGCGCTACGAAGGTCAGAGGCTATCCTCACTATACATAATCCTTTCATTAAATATGACCTTGCAGCTACGCTGCCACTCTAACTGAACTTCAGTGACTATTTTTGTCTTTTTTCACTTTTGAATGGTGTGATCTTTGATTGCGATATTTTTCTTTAATTTTGGGAAAGCTTTGTCTTTTTTGAATGCTTTTGTTGAATTATTTAATTAGGTCTTTTCTTTACCTTTTAGTCTACTAACGGTTTTCACGTGGTTTTCATGGTGTAACGAGCAGCATTATAAGCTACTATGTTCTCAGGTGTCACATCTAGGAGAACCGTACACAATAAATATTACACTCCAACAGCAAATTCAACTGTTTGGGCAGAGGTAGTGGGTGAAAAGGAAGAAAATGAAGGCACCCTGCCTGTTTAAACACAGCGAGAATTCTAATAAGAGAAAGACTAAAAACAAAAAAAACATGAAGGGGAAGGGAAATATTCAAACTCATACAGGAGCGTCCAGGAGAAAGAAGGGTCAAGCCGTTACGGAAACGGTCTCGGCATGTATTCATTGCTGAGACGCCTTACTCTGAATGATCTGCTATTTCTATGCAGATCGTTATCAAGATTCTGCACCTAATTTAAACCCTCTTCAGAAAAATATAGCGGGATTAAATGAAATAGTTCTGAAGATGTTAGCTCAACATGAAGCCAGGGAAGCGAGGAGCAGAGTAGAGCTCCTTCAACGCTGCTGAAAGAGCTAGATTGAGAACAGGAAGGAGAAGAAGAGCGGAGAGCTGGCCTGGCAAGAACTTCGGAAAGTGCAAGAATAGGGAGGCAACAGGAAGGTGAAGAGCAGCGTCAAGCTCGTATAGGAAGGGTTGCTGAAAGGGCAAGAGCGCGGAGAGAGCGAGAAGGACATGAGCAACGACAGGGTCGCTTAGAAAGAATGAGTCAAAGAGCAAGAGTGCGGAGGGAGGAAGAAAAAGAGGAACAACGACGAATTCGCTTAGAACGGCTTAGCCAAAGAGCAAGAGCGCGGAGAGAACACGAAGCTGTGGAGGAGCGACAAGCTCGCTTAGAACGACTGAGTCAAAGAGCAGGAGCGCGGAGGGAGGAAGAAGGAGAGGAACAAAGAAGAGCTCGCCTCACAGGTATTGCTACAAGAACTAGATCGCGAAGAGATCAGGAAGGCGAAGAGGAACAAAGGGCTAGACAACTATGCGATGCAGAACGAGCAAGATCTCGGGGACAACAACAAGGCGATGAGCGACGTGAACAGCGAAACGTTGCGACTGCAGAAAGAAAGAGAGTGCTAAGAACAAGACTTCCGACAAGTCTAAGCGAGGAGAGGCGACGTACTGAATCAGGAAGACTCCAGCTGAGAAGTAGAACTATCGCGGCTAGGACCAGTCGGATAGCTCTCTCGAACGTCATCCCAGAGAAGCATTATGACGGGCCTATGAATGTTGAGTGTGGGAGTTGTGGAGCGAGGCCTTTCAAGTCCGAGTCGAAAGCGGGCAGAGCAATCTTTAATGATTGCTGTAATCATGGTAACATTACTTTAGAGCACTTTATCAACTATCCCGGACAGCTCTATCAGTTACTAACAAATAAAGACGCCAATGCAAAGAAGTCCAGTGAACTTATCTGCAATTACAACTGCGCCTTTGCATTTGCATCTATTGAGGCCCGACCGGATACCCCACGTCAAGGGCACTTCTGCTTCCGTATTCACGGCCAAATTTACCACAGAATTGGTCCTGCACGCCCAGAGGAAGGTCAGTTGCCACGGTACGTTCAAGTGTACATTCTTGACACATCAATGGCGGCTGTTGAAAGAGCGGGAAACCCAGCGAACATACACTGCAACCCCGCTCTGATCCGATCTCTCAGTACACACTTTCATGAAGTCACTGCTTTTGCGCAAGCGTACAAAATGCTGAACGACACTGCTCTTGAAAAGGAGGCTCGAGCAGCAAGGGAAGAGAGAACGGCAATGCCAGTTAAGATGATATTTCAAAGTTCGAATCTGGCTCCACGCCGTTGCAACGAGCCAACGGCAAACTAAGTGGCCGTCGTGTATGCAGGAGAGGAAGATGTACCGGCCGAGCATAATCTCGCCGTGCACTTACGATCAGGAGGCCTGCGCAATGTAGCGTGGATGGCGCCATAACATGTTAAAAAACCCCTCAGAACGCCGTAGAACAAGAGTCACCCGAAGGAATATTATTCAAACATGATAGCTGTGAGGGTGGGATTCAATCCCCTTCACTTTGCCG